TAGACACTTTGGAACTGACACATCCCTTTTCATTTTATCCTGAGGTTGTACAGAAAAGGGAAAATAACATATCTCAGGTTCCTAGTACGACTTTGACAAATGTCGTTGTAGAACTCATAGTTTCTCAATTATGATTGGCTACTCAGGTTCACCCGAGGGTGAATATGTCCATTTCCATATGCCTGGTCAGCACTGCCTGTATTTCAGTTCACTGTTACAGTTCTCTTTTCCTTTCTTATATCCCAGTGTCCCAAGAAGAGCTTATCATAGCCTGTCACTGCACCCATTGAGCTGATCCTGTTGGATTGTGTTTCAGAGAGTGTCCTGTACAGCTGTGCTGATATGCTTGCCCTGCCGTTTCTTAGGGGCAGTGTAAACTGCTTCTGTTTGCTAAATAAAGGTAATGATATTTCTCAAGCTGGTGTTGAAGATTAGCTTAGATAATTGATGTAAAGTGGCAAAGCGCTTAACAATGCTTTCAACCAAGCATGAATTCAATGGATGTTAGTTGTCACTGTAGCCATCATCAGTGACAATGGTGGTAGCAGCATTTTATGTAATCAACACTGGAAATTTCATCATCATTTTTGTTATTGCCACTGGCCAGTGGGAGTCAAACACTGCCTGCTCCTTTAAGTATATCCGCTCCAGCCTTGGTCTGACGCCTTAACCTTCCCTCTTGATGCCTGCTGTGTGGTCAGTCAGTTTCAGGTTGAATTCCAGAGTAGTCCATTCCTGTTTGAAAGATGATTTTAAATACAACTCACCCACGCTTTATGAGATTCTAATTTTTAAAATAAATTGCCTATCCCAGTATCATTATTCACATCTGAAATGATTTATATACCAATTATTTATGGCATTTATTTTTACTGTTCTCATGCATTTTATGGATCAATTAGGTCCTTGTTTTCTTTGTCTAATCATGCAAATCCCCAGTCAACACTTGCTACCTGGACATTGGGGAAGGAGGCAGGATGCCCCACAGTCTTTATTTCTTCCCTGACCTTTGTTACCAGCTCTCAATCCAGACTGAGAACCCCCTAATCTTCTGCCAAGATGCTCCTCTGGGTGCCTGTCACTCATCCTACTTACTGGACATATGGCATCCAAGACAGGTGTTAGACACCTACGGGATGGGGCATGCTGGGCTCAGTGTACAAGGTCCAAGATAAGCACACAAACTTTGAGCGTTATTGGCTTAGGGTTGGTATTTAAAACCACTGAGCTGGGGCTTGTTGACAGTGCCATAGCAAAAACATCCACAGGAAAGGATTAGCTGACAGCAGCCACTGGATTGGCAACTGTGCCACTCGGATTTTCTGTCCTCCTGCAGTGGAGAAAACATACACAGAAGATCACAAAGGTACCAAATGCTAGGTGAGATCGATGCCAAGGATGGCATCTTCCTTCAGCTCAGTGAGCCTGCAATCCTCCTAAGAAAGGGAGATGCACAGCCACCGATCACAGAACAGGGCAGGGTAGAATGGGTGTGAAGAGTGGGCAGCATGTTCAGGCCAGAGATCAGGGAAGGGGCTTAGTAGAGAAGAAATCACAGGAAAGATGTTCTTTGTAGAGTAACTTAAGTGATAAAAGACATTTTAAATGCTAAAGAGGGGAAGAAGGCATTCCAGGCAGGTGGAACTAGATGGAAATGGATTCACAGGGGCACACAGCAGGAGCTCCAGGTAGATGGGTGGGTGAATGAGCTGATGCTGTGTCTGGGGCTGGCTGTTTCTGTCTGTCTGAAGCCAGCCCTTCAGATGGATCTGTGCCTGAGTTCTGAGGTTCCGAGGTGTAGCTCCTGCACCGCCCAGGGAACAGAATGGGAGCCTGTCACCTTGTGCTGAGACGTGAAGGGCAGAGCAGAATAAACTTCTCCCACGAGGCCCATAATGATGGCACTCAAGATTGTGGATGGCAGGCCTGTTCCAAGAGTTCCGATGGGTACCCGGGCAGCCGTGCAGTAAATCACCCTCATCGCACCACACGGCATATTCCTGGCTGCCTCATGCATTCTCTCTGGAGGAGCAAGGACAGCGCGTACAGAAATTGGAGAGCAGATCTGCAGAAAACCTCAGAGCTGGAGGTGTCCCTCCCTCCCCAGATGGGGGAACTGAGGCTTGGGGAGAGTAGTCGTGTGTATAGCTAGCAGGAGGTACAGGCGGCACAGTCACTGGGACCTGATTCTTCTCATTCATTTCTTCATTTTATCCTACGCTGCCTCCTTCCTTTTCCTTTGAGGCTTAAGGTGTTGTACAGCCTCAACTGGTGCTAATCTTTAGCTACCAAAGGTGAGTGTTATCATGGGCTATCACCTCCTTCCCCAAGAGATTCCCTCCCCTCCCTTTCCCTTGCTCTCAGGAGAGGACCCTGCCAGTCTGGGTAGAAGCTCAATTTGTTGGTATCCCCTGAAGAATCGTGGTGTTTTTACAAGTGTAAAGAAAAGATTAATCACTGACACTTATTTTAAAAGCATGGTAAGGAAGCCTCTATGCAGCACTGTTACCACAGGTTTTGAGGCCACCGTATTGGGATCCTGAGTGGAGGAGAGAGACAGGGCTCAACCCTGAATGCAACTTTTGCAAGTGGGAATTTGAAGCCAAGGAGCAGGAAAATTAGATGGAAAATTAGATGGAAAATTACTAACAGAAGTGGGAAAGATTCTGGCCAAGGGGATTTAGCAGGGTTCTTACAGAAACCGACCCAAGTGAACAGGTGTCACCTGGGTGGTGGTGGGGAATGAACTTGATCAGACGAAGGTGTTAGATACTAAGGATGGGGAGGGTCCAGTGATAGCAAGGTTCTTTGCTAAAATGAGATTTTATAAACCAGTGAGCCGGTGGGCCAAGGAGAATGTTTGGTTTGGGCAAGCAAAGAATAGTATTGATTTTAATGAAGATTGTTAGTGCAGGGTGCCCAAAGGTGGCACTTTGGGCATTACAGAGCACGTGATTGTCACTGTCAAGCTGTTGTTAAACTCCCCATAACTAGGTAAAACTTTCTCAAGTCAAGTTAGACTGGAAAAGACTGTAACTGTCCTTGGAATTTAATTGCTGTACTTTCTGTGTACCCAGAAGCCAAGATATCTTTTTCCTTCTCCGACCTGCTGTCTGAACTGCTCTCTAAATGACTTTTCACAGATGGTGGTTCTGTTCCTGCTCTCCCTGGGTCTCCCTGGAGTGTTCTGGCTGTGTGGTTGGGGTGGAAATGGAAAGGGAGGTGCTGACTGACCACATGGGGCAGTGCTAGGGAAAAGAGTTTGGGGTGAGGGCATTTGAGATATGGTTCATGACTAGAAAGTCAGGCAAGCAGGGAATCTGAGGGAAGTACAGAGCCTAGGCTGATGACATGAGGGATGTCTTGCTGCAGGTTCTGGAGTCATGGGACTGAAGTACAGAGCAATGTCAAAGTGGGGCCAGCCATTCACGCCATCAATCATCCCAGTGTGAAGCAGTGAAGTCAGCTTCTAAAGCCAGCCTGAGAAGGCTGGATCTGCAGGAGGATGCCACTTGGGTCTTGAAAAGGAAAGGCACCATGCTGGACGTGATCAGAGGAAGGCCAGGCAGCCTGTGAGGCTGAGCCAATCCTGGCTCCATAGGTAGTCCTGCCTGGGGATGTGGGTGTTAGCATCTGGTCCCATGACCGTGAGCCCCAGCCATGAGGAGATAAGGCTGGGGCTCCATAGCAGTTGCCACAGGAAGTCAGTCCTATGATTTAATGCAAGTGAAAATGGGTTTCAGCTCTACTTCCCACAGGCAAAAATCAAGACACAACTGGAGGTCCTTTGATGAGGCATTCATTCAGGAGACCTTAAAATTCAAATTACACCATCTCTTTGAATTCCTGTTCCTGTACTGTGATTCACAAGCCATTTCTCTAGGCTCCAACTCCTTCATCTAGATGATTCCTCTCCAGCCCTCAAATTTCAGGTGTCTTCTCTTCCAGAAGCCTTTCCTGACTACCACTGCCTCTCTGCCCAAGGTTTTCTTAGTCCTTTATCTCTCTCCTGAGTTCTCTGGCATGTTTATATCTGTGTGCCAGCCATAGTGCGTTAATTAGTTTCCTACATATTTATTTACCTTTGCTGGTCTTCTCCGTTAATAATGTGTTCTTTGAGGCAAGCTACGGTGTGTTGTAAATTCCCCCCTGCCTTACTCAGGTTCAGAGCACCCAGCCAATGCTTGCTGCACAAGGATGCAGGGCCGTGATGATAGAGGAGCACCACAGCTCCCTCCTGCTCAGCATACCTAGTGCTACCTAGGCAGCACACACCTGCCTGCCTCACTGCACTGATTGAGGATCAAGTCCCGTTACATAAATGAAGTCTGGAGACCTTTGAGGGCCAACATGGAGGGTAAAGGAGTCTTATTGTCCCATGTCCTCCCTAGGGCTGCCAGAGGGACTGTTCTCTCTCAGATTTTCTTGTCTGTCTTGAGAGGAGATTTGCTTCCCAAACAAACCAGTTCAGCTTTGCTCCAGGTAAAGGATGATCTGATCATGGTGAATCTCCTCCTTCACCTCCACTCTTCCTTTCCCTCCTCCTCCTGCTCCTTCGCTTTCCTGCCCTATTTTCCCGGAGGGAAGACTCTACAGTGCAAAGAGCTTGTTCTCTCTATTAATATCTTTGTGTGCTACGGTGGGCCACAAAATTGTGGTGCAAAGGGGGTGCTTGGAGTGGGAAGGGATAATGATCTGCCATCCCAGGAATCTGGGTCATGTAGATTCCAGGGACTGTTTTTCCCACTGACACTTCAGATTTGTGATTTGCCTAAAAGTGCTCGGTTGAGTGGAAATACCACACATTGCAGCGTGGGGAGGTGCACTTTGGCCTGGGCAGAGATGCTGACTAGCTGTGCAATGCCAGGCAACTCTTTGCACTTTGTGTGCGTCTTCATTTATAAAAAGGGATAATTGAGATACGATCAGTAAAACTGAGTGGGAGCAGTCGTGCTCTGCACAGGTTTCTGCCTCTGACCCTGTCCTGTTCTTCCTCACAGTTCAGCCCCTCAGAGTGGATCGAGGCTCAGAGGAGCTCCGGCCTGCAGTCACAGAGGTGGCAGATGGCGTGCCTGACTCTCAAGCTCCATGCCCGCCACAGCCCCTGACTTCAATACGCATCCTCGGGGACCATCGTGAGTGGTGTTTGGGGGCACTTTAAATTCCAGGTGATCCAGAGCTCTGACTATGAAAATACAGCTTATCCCAAGTGACATATTTGCCTTTAGGAGGAAACAGTAATGCCTTTGAACAGCCTGAAAAGGAGAACAAGAGAGCGAAGGAACTAGATCAGATACTCTCCTGTAGTCTGGGCTTTCTCATGCCCAGGAGAGCAGTTTAACGTCATAGATACAGAACCAGTTATACCACACAAACCCCTTCTATCCCAGTTCTCACCCATTTCAGGGGGTATTGGTGACTCACTAAACTTCCCCAAGCACTTTCTGCTCGTCTGTGAAATATACTACTGCAAGAACAGAGTCAGCTCTACCCTCCTCACCAGGTGCATGTGAAGGTCACCAACTTTTTACCTGACATTCCGGGGACCACCTACAGATGACCATAGAGAACGTTGCCTCTGGCCATGGGTCCAGTGTACGCCCATTTCCCTGTCTCAGCTCAGTGTGGGGCACCTCCATGGGGAGGCCCTGTGCCCCACACCAGAGCAAACCTGCATGTTACATTCATGTTTAGCTCCATGGGATCGGCCTTCCTAGAACTCTTTTACTGTCATGAAAGTTTTGTGGTTTCTAATTAATGTGCCCCCTTTTAAAAGACCATATTGCAAACAAAGGGATGGACTGTGCCACATTTGCTCACTGATGGATTGCTTTTTTAAATTTTTTATTTTTTTGTCTTTTTGAGACAGGGTGTTGCTATATAGTTCAGGCTGGTCTTGAGCTCACTTTGTAGCCTAGGCTGGTCTCAGATTTGCAGTGATGCTCCTGCCTCAGCCTCCTGAGTGCTGGGATTACAGCGTGTGCCATTTGCTGGTGTATTACTATTACCAGCACAATAAGTAGGAAGTTGTAGGTGCTAAACAAATATTTGAGAATTGAATAATGAATCAGTGAATTAAAGGCAGGGTGGAGGAGAGAGACTATCACCTAGCCAAGTAGCCAATCAGAAAGGCTTATTCAGTCTCTCAGCACCTTTCTTGTGTGCAGCTTCTGTTCCAGGGATGTGGACAGCCCACAAGAGTAAAGAGATGGTTCTAGATGTAACATTTGGAGACCCAAGGGGCCTTCTCTGAATCCATCTTACCCTAAACTAGATCCGTGATCGTGCATTCTCTGTCTCTCAGAACTGCTCATTTCCTTCTGACACTGGTCACAGCTATTCAGCTACTGTAGCCTACCTACTGTCCACATCAGCTCACCACCATACCCAAGCACTGGGCACAGTGCCCAGCATATGGGGACTTCTGAATGACTAGCGTCGCGGGGAATGTAGAGCTACAGAGGAAAATGGCAAGATGCCTCTTCTTAAAGCATCAGTGCAATGGGGAACACAGGAGCCCTGATGAATGTGGAACCCTTTTAGGATGCCATGTGACCCTAAATGCTCCTTCTTGTGAAAATGATGATAATGCTGAAGCTTATGGTAGCTAGAGATGTGGGGTTAAGTCTGATAGTGGGGTGCTAATAGGCACCGATTCTATTCGCAGAGATCATTTCTTTATTTAATGCATGTTTGCTGAGTGCTTACTACTGGCCCTGTGATGTTGCAGGAGAGCGCAGTAAGCAGGATGGGCTGGATCCAGTCTCAGAACTGGTAGGATGCCACGTCGTGGCTGGCAGGGTCCAGGGAGGGGTCAACGGGAGATTAAGATAATACACCTAAAAGGGGCTGGGGATTTAGCTCAGCGGCATAAAGCGCCTGCCTTGCAAGCAGGCAGTCGTGAGTTCCATCCCTGCTACGGATAAAAAGGAAAAAGACAAAAAAAAAAAAAAAAAAGATAATACACCTAAGGACAGCTGGGACCAGGTGGGGTATGGCCCTCTGGTGGATGTGACTCCAGCATCTTTATTTGTGCAAAGTAAAAGGGGGTGGGGCGCGGCCTATAACTGGGTCCAAAGTGCAAGGTCTCAGTGTTTCCTGAGAGCTCAAAGAGCTACTCCTGCTGTAGCAGGACGGGATGCTGAGGGGCAGGGAGCCTGCAAGTGGGCCGCTGAGCTAGGGGGCAGCTTGTCCACGCGGTCTGCCTCTGGCATTTCGTGCTCCTGGGACTGCTCTGCTCTAGACCCAAGTGGTTCACCGACCTCCAGTGCAGCCACTCCACACATAGGAGTAGCAACTCCTCCTTTTCTGGTCTTTACTACCTTGTACTCCTGCAAATAAAGGGGTATTGCAGTGGTCTGTGGTGTCCCTTTTTCAGGCCTATAATAAGCGTTTCTGCTGGAGAAATTGTAGACTGACTGCTCGTGATTTACAAGAGTCCCACATCAGTCCTCCTGTCCTGCATTGAATTTACACCTCTCTTGTGACCAGTCTGGCTCGCTTGTAAATAGTATGAGCTACTTGGTTTAGTCCTCACAGCTGCCAAACCTGGGGCCTGATGGAGCCTCAAAAATCTTATTTCATTATCTCTAAATTTGGTGTAGTATTAATAATTATAGAAGGATTGCTGTGAGTTTAAATGAGATAATGAGATAATTGTGTGTTGTGTCTAGGAAATTGCTTAGCATGGTAAACACTCAGTATTTCTTGGCCCTCTCCTATTATTATTGATCTAGCTTGATTGGGTACCTTATCAAACAATGGGGAAAATGAAGCAGAATAATCAGGCTGCAGAAACTGCAAGGGTCCACCACTTAATCCATCCACTGGAGGTTTTCAGGAGATGAAAGGGAAGCCTCAGGGGCAGAGACATGGAGGCTGGTTGTCAATAGCCCGGGCTCTCGTCCCATTTAGTCACCAATTCCTGCATGACCTTGGGTCCCTCCTGTCTCTTGCTCTCACTTCCGCTGGCCATAAGCGCATGGAGGAGGGCTGGCTGGGCACTGACACCTCTCCTCACCTGTGAGTCCACCACTAGTGTCTACAGTGAGTATGTTTTTCTGCCTCTCCAAAGTCTGGGCAGGTCAGAGCTGAGGCATCAGAACAGGGGTGGCCTTTGTGGCAGAGACCGGGCTGTGATCTGCTGTGTCCATCTGCCTCTTCCCCAGGGCAGGGACCTGAGGGCTCACTGCTCATCCCATGATGCCACGCTCCTTCCTGGCCCAGCCTCGGCTGGCAGCTCCTGTCTGGGGACGGAGGACTTGTGCTGGGACCCTGGCTCTGTGGCCATGCTTGCTGTCCCAGATGCTCGCCTGCGTGCCCGGGACATTCACCCCAGTTCCTGCTGGATCGTCACTCTTCTCTTCTTAGTTGCTTCAGCTCTGAGGGATCTTGGGCCTGACCCGCCAGCAGTCGGCAGGGCCCAGAAGAGGGAAGAATGGAAAAGAAGGAAGCAGAGGCAGGGGAGTGCTGGGTAGCTGAGCAGATGGCGGGGAGAGGGCAGCAGGACATGCAGCCAGAGGGGAGTATAAAGCCTTCGCTGAAAAGGCAGCAAGCAAATATCTCCATATCCATGGTGAACAAAACTGAAAGAGAGGAGGCGAGATACAAGAGAAAGAAGAAACAGGGGGATAGGGATTGAACAAAATAAAGAAAGGAAGGACAGAGAAAGGAGTAGCAAGTTCATAGGAAGTAAGGGAAGGAGAAGAGAAAGGTGTTGTTGGGTGGGCAGGAGGAGGAGCGATGCAGAGGCAGCCTGAGAGGGGTCTGCTTCGAGGTCCTTCTGGATCTTTTGTTAGAGTTGCCACAAGTTCCAACATCTGAAGCTGTGTGTGTGTGTGTGTGTGTGTGTGTGTGTTGTGTGTGTGTGCACGAAGACACTGTCACCTGTTAAAATCCAGCATTTCCTGAGGTAGGGTGAACCTGGAAGTTGCTATCAGGTCAAACCCTGTTAGATGAATGGAACAGCAGGATTTGTTTTTAGGCACCCACAAAAATCCTAGTAAGCAAGGCAGGACCAGGGACCTGGAGGGCAGCGGTGAGAAGGCAGGAACATGGTGGATGGCAGGGAACCAGGCTTGCAGCAGGGAGCTGGAGGCTTCTGGAGCTTCTGTTTTGCATGAGGTCCTGTGACTTCTGCCTCCTTGATCCCTGCCTGTTCCTGGGGGCTATGGGGGTGGGGGCGATGCCACTGGAGATGCTTCAGCCTGGGGTTTCCCAGTGCGGGCTGCACACATCACTGGGGACAGCAGGAGGTGCTTTCCTGAAGCCAAAGCCAATATTTTAAGTTCAAATAATTGTATGTGTATTTACAGTTTTGTATCTCTCATTAATGGGTCTTAGAATTATAATAGAGTTATTCTTATTCCAATAGTAAGAATAATAACAATGGAATAATTGATTATTTGCTTCAGGGTTGCTGCTTTTCTATTTGTAACAGTGCTGTAAAAATTTCTTCTTAAAGTTTATGCAAAACGAAGAGAGGATAAAAATAAATAGTAAGGGGATGGAGACACGGCTGTCGTGTAGCTAGCGAGGAAGCACCAAGACAACAGCCCTAGTTGGGAATGTGAATTTCTAGTTCAAGCCTCTCACAGGGGGTGACAGGGCTCCTGAGAGAGGAAATGATTTGCTCAGTGGATTTGCACCAGGGGTGCAGTTGGATGACAACCTGGGACGCCCTCCTTCTGCTCCCTGTGTCTTGCCTGCCCAGGCTCCTTGATAACTCTCCTCTGATAATCCTCCGTGAAGCCCCTAGCAACTGATCTGTTAATTAGGGCTCTTCTGGACAAATTGTAAACCTCCTGTCCCTTCCATTCAAGAATGAAAATAGTATTTTGGTCTCAAGATTGCATGTCACGGTAGCTACCTTGGAATTATATGAACATTAGACATGGCGTGAGTTTTCTAGATTGCCCTTGATTTATAGAATCAGTGTGTGTGGAGAAAAATGACATATAAATCAAATTTGCACAAATCAAATTCCATTTTCCATTGATTTATTTTATCTCAGAGGTGTTTTATTTTAATTTTGGAATTATTTATACTTGGTAATTGCTTTGAGCTACCCCCCTCCTTCTGTGAAAAAATAAAAATAAAGACACTGGCTTGAGAGCCAGATCGAGCAGATATGAAT